AAGTCCGTCGTTTGAATAAGGAAAACATTCCTACTTCCTTTAAACTGACCTTATCCTGTACAGACGACCTTATGTATTTTTTTAAAAGGGACGTGCATTACAAAGGCGATTGATTTATAAGGAGTTGAACAAAAGCAGAAAAATGATACTATTACACACCGTAGAACTTATTTTCAGTATTGGCGTTAACCAGGAAGGTGTCATCGCGGGCCGAATTCTTCGCTGTCATCGCCAGGTAGGGTGTCATCCGAATCAGGCGAACTGTGGACACATTACTCGCTTAGCTGACACTTAAGAACAATACATTTAATACGCATGCATTTAGTTCGGCCGGCCTCTCGCTTGGTGCTCGCGAGCCATACATTCGCTTTGCATAATTGTGAAGTTACCTTCTGGTTACACGACGAACCATTATGCGCTGGCTGGGTGGCATGATGTGTGGTTGTCCGTGTGCCTGGGAATAAAAAGAAAATTATAAATATTTTATAACAAAGTGAGACAGTGTACAGCTGTTTTGTGCATAATTTCGTATGTAACCACAAAGTTTACAAAAGGACTCCTTTAAACAACAATACTAGCTAATCGTGAAATTGCGCTGAATAACATTCTTGTATTAAAACAGTTAATGTTGTACAAAATCATCTGAAGAAAAGGGTACTAAAATGGCTTACTTTACTTACCCGATAGCCCAAGTTTTTAAGCTAAACTACACGCAATATCAATGAATTCTGCAAAGTTGAGCCAGTTAACTATTCTATGATAAAAGCGTACGGTACTACCAAGTTAGACCAAATGTAACAAAACGTGTTAGTCGTGAGTATGAATATTAGAACTTATATAAAAGTCTAGGTCATTAAACAACATAAGAAAAACCTGTTACTTCTAAAAAAAAAGTTTTATCGAAAATCTATTAAGTACATTTTTTAGAAATATTCGTAAATCATACTTCTACGGTTTCTAAAGACATTTAATATTAAAAGTAATGTTTGAGGTATTCCATAAACCTACTCATTGTTCCAATCAACTAAATTTGATTTCAAATTAGTTTCTGAAGCAATAAATCAGATAATAACTACCTATGATCACTTAAGAATAATGAGGCAATAATATTTAATTTAAGTACATCGATAATAGACGTTTAATAATTTTTTGTACCCCAATTGGTACAAAAATTATTAAACGTCTTTATCGATGTCTAGTTAGATGTTAGGACGCAACGTGACTGAGATAGCCACTGACTCCACGGTATCGACACACAGTCAATACGTGCAGCAGTAGTAAACTTAAACATTATTGCTATTTAAACTTATAAAAAAGAAGATAAACACATGACCTTTAATTTTTTTCATCTTGCAGAAAATATCTCGTACACCTATCTATACCTATTTAAATCTATATTTCCTTTGACTGTTGTAGAATTTCGAAGTATTGTTTGGATTTATTTCTTATCCTTCCGGGAATATATAAGGGTAGTTATTTATGAGATATATATTTATATATATATATATATATATATATATATAATTTCAGATTATACAACTTCATTATCAAAGAAAACTTTAATACGTAAGTTTCATTAAATTAATGTCGCTATGGAACCCTCATTTTATGGAATTATTTTTACATTGGGCCCTTAAAGATATCGTTGGCATTGTGTGTTCATATATGGATTGCCAGTTTAAATATTGTGATGTTGGCAAATGTATTTATAGATGTTGACTAATTATTTTGAAATATATTTTAATAGACCCAAAGATCCAGCAACTTTCGAAGGCAGTTCTTTGATCGTCCGCGCTTTGGACGTATATTATGTTACACACAATGGTCCTTTGATAGTAAGCGGTTACAGTGTACTATTAAAATTGTTATTACCTACTTTTAGTTTAATTAACACTATGAAAGGGTATATATAAAGGACCCATAATAAATAAATTAAAGTTCTTATTATTACAATTATTTAACTCCAACCGTTAAAGTACATAAAGAGACAAACTACTTAATATTTGTCAATCATTACAACATATCTATTTTTAGTAAGGAAAATTATAAAACAACGTAATTAACACACAATTGAAGTTCTTGAAACATTCACACCCGTGTAGTTTAAGACGCGCAAACTTAAAAAAACTCTCTAAACACAGTACTTCTTACGGAAAGAATAATATCATGTATGAAGGAGCATGGATCTACAACTTACTACCCAAATGCATAAAAGACGCAAAAATACTGATATTATTAAAAAATACTATTAAAAACAACAACGTTTTCAAAGGGTTTGAAGAAAGATCCTTTTAAAACCTATAACTACTACTGTAAAATTCAAGCACCACCATGATTATTATATGTACTTTTTATAAGTATTTTTATTACATTGTTGTAAATTACGCGTATTTTCCCGTAGTCCTGACAACATGTCTGCTAAAAATTTTGATAATTGGTGAAAGAGCGTAAAAACGGTGTCAAATGAACCCAAATTTGCCTTTATAATACATTTTTTTTTTGTAAGAAATATACAATTTTATTTTGCTCATAATGTGTGCCAAAACTAAATGTAAGCTTTTATTCTCAGAATTTGTGATTCAGAGAGATGCCTTTAACTTCAAGAAGGCAGTTTTATTTATTTCTTAAAAGACGCTGACGAATGCCAATTAAGGTAAGTTGGTGGCATATTTTATCTCCCATATTTAATAAGATTGTCATTATTCCCATAAAATATAGCATTTCTGCTAATTAAGTGCACGATCATATTCATTGTACATACTAGAAGTAAGTACTTTGAATATAGAGTATCTGAGACCTGGGAATAAATTAGACAGTAAACTAATATTTGATAACCATATAACATCTATTACAAATAAGTCTTCAAAAATGTTGGGTATATTAAGGATTCCTAAGGATTTCAGGCGTTCATCCACAGTGTTGCTCCTGTATTAAACTATTATTTCTATTATAACTATTATATTATCGATACTCGAGTAGGATCGGTAAAGTGGAATCCAAAACTCCAAAATAAAATAAATAAACATGTTGGATGGAGAGATAAAAGTGAAAACTACTATAAATAACTGATTTGAGATGTGAGGAACGAACGTGGCCCGATATTTTTTCTTTAAAATTATTAGAAATCAAGTCGAATCATCTTAAAATTTAAGCAAAGTTGGAATTGGTTACCCGCGGTTACCATTGATTATCAACGCACGAAATAAACAATTATTTTCTGTGCCCTTTACTAAACTTATTATAGGCTTGATTCCCTTATATTAAGATCATGCCGCTCGTTTAATAATCTCATTATTTTATGTAATGAAGATTCCATAGATGTGTTCCATATTTTTATACCCAAATTAAGAAGTCCGTCCATTGCTTTCTTGTTCCTCCTGGAAATTGCTGAAATTCGATTTTTTTCTCTATATTTACTTTTATCAACTGATCTTCTTTTGTCACCGAGATGTTGCTATGTTATTACACCTGATACTGTGGCATTTGTGAATTTTAGTTTCGTTTTAATTTTAATTTATAATGTGTAAATATTTTGGCGCTATTGTATATCTATTCTATTGTATATTTTTATGTGGAAACTGTATTGGATGGTGTGTAGTCTACCTGTACATTAATTTATTAATTTAAATTTGTATGTGTGTGTTTTCCGAATAAAATATGAAAATAATAAACATAGTTTCACTCACCCATACCAACATCCCCGGAGGGGTAAACCTCAGGCGTATGAAACGCTCACTTGCCTACTATAATTTAAATTTCACTAAGGTATATAGTATAGGTATATAATAGTAATAGGGGCGACCCTAGTGCAAACGGGCACTACAGGAATCCGGTGGGAAAATATAGAAAAACAAAACATGTAAAGGTAGGAAAGGGTATGAGGTAAAGAGGAAGGGAGAGAGAAAGATATGAAGATGAATTATAGACCGTTAGCAATGCCTTTGGGATCACGTACCTGTTACTAGAACAGGCTGTTGCACCGAAGTCCAAATCCTCTAACATATAGTTTAGTTTTATTTTCTTGCTAACCAGAAAACATATAATAAAAGTGACTATGTAGTAACAACAACAATATATAACTTATTGTGGCTTAAGCACGGTATTACAATAGTAAATATTAACTCTATCGAGAATCTTACAAATATGTTTAAAAACTTCGGGATTTTATTTTTCAAGAAACAAAATATTAGTAAGCTAAAATTTAACATATTGAATCAACGTTGACACATGTTATAATTGAGTTTCGCTAGATAAATCTACGCTTGGGATTTAGTGCTAAAGTTGTTACTTTCTGAGTAACATTGATGTGTAACCCTCTAGCAAGGATTATTCGTTGTTTTCAAGCCAATGGGAGGATAACCTGATACGGATCGATTGGTGAGTGTGTGCAATAGCTTGCCTAAGTCAGGATGAGCTTAATGTAACTTTAAGTGATTACGAACTATAGTGGAATGTATCGACATATATTGGTCTAAATTAATACTAACATCATTGTAATAATACTTTTTAACCACAATGACGAACTCGAACTCTAAATTTATCACATCGTGCCAAGTGTCATTTGAATTCGTTAAATAGTTTTAGTGTAATACAGATTCAGTAAAAATTTAGACAGAAAAGTCTATACTTAGTAGCTGACTGAAAATTTATTGTGCAAATGTGACTGCACGGATGGCGTAGTGGTTTAAGCGGTCGCCACGCCACTTTCTACTACGCTGAGTGTTGTGGGTTCGATCCCTACATGGGACGACACTTTGTGTGATCCACAAAAAATGTTCTGGGTGTTTGTTTGTTGTTGTTGTGGCGTGTTTATGTTTTGTTAAATAAAGTGCTGCTTCAAAAAACTTTTACACTTACAACCTAACAATAGTACATAAGGTTTTACTGTATATTATATAAATAATTTCATACACTTACAGTGAAAGTTGTCTCGCGGTTGGCGCTGGCGGTGCCCTCAGGATCAACAGGAGTTCGCATGCTCTGTGGCAACAGTTCTATCAGGTTCGTAGAATGCGGCTGATAACGGAGGACCAATACGCAAGTAGATACTAGGGTATATGCGAGAAGAGTACCTGTTGACAAACATGTAATCCATTTATTGTATATAAAAGAAAAGGACACGCAACATTAAGACAAATACATTAAATTTTCTTAATTCACTTTCTTTATAAAATTAAGTAGCTTTTTATCCTTGTATGAAACAACTACTTTGGTACAAAAACTATTACGTTGTTTTTATGATCAAAATGTATAAGCAATTAAAAAACGATAGCTTCATTTACGTACTATAGCTTACAAATTACACATCCAACTTATAAAATGATCTCCATGCTCCATGTATCCTATCGACTAGAATAACTAAAGTACGAGAAAAGAGCAGAAAGTCTAATGTTTAAAGAACCTACTACGAGTATATTGTTTATTATGTATATTTTATATCTAGTCAAGTATAAGTAAGTATAGGATATGAATATCTTTTTTTATGTCAAAGGGGCCAGACTAGCAGACGGCCCATGAACGTCTGCACCTCAGGAGCCACAAACGCGTTGCCGGCCTCTTTTCTTGAAGGTTTGAAGTTAGTATCGGTCCGACAATACTACAGACATACTAGACAGACTACAGACCACGGAAATACTACAGATTGGTTGTGCGGGGCAAAAAGTGTCTCGAAAGGCGCACTGTAGGTGGAGCGCCAACTATCCAGGTGATGAAGATGAAAATTTTGCCGTGTGGAACGATGGCGAAAAGTTGCAACTGATATTAGTCCGAACAATTCCTCGGAGCACTCTCCATGATGTATGCGATAGAGAATGCAGAGTGAAGCCACATCTCTACGTAACGCCAAGGGATCGAGCCGATCGGAGATGTTAGGGCTGTCAATTCTTTTTTTTTTCTTAGACAATAAATATATTTTTTTAGAAAAAGATTAACGCCAAGTTGTTTAAAATAAACTCTCCAATATTTATGACCAAATTTGAAAGATATGAAATGATCAATGTACTGTTCCATTCTTTCTTTTACAACAGTTTAATTAGTTTTGTACTACACACTAGTGCAATGAAAGCAGGTAAAATAAGTCACATTTATAAATCAGTGTCAAATAAGGATATACAATTTAACTTTCAGTTACCTAAACTTGTGTTACTTTCTGTTGTTTATCTCTGTTCATGACTGTTGGAATTGAAAGATACACTGTAGTTATACGTTTCTGACATAAAGATGTAATTACGTATCCGGTACACAGTGTAAAAAAATGGGATTTCACCGTTGAAATGGATAAACTATATATTTCTATACACGGAATTCTATATACTGTGCACGGAACTCTCGGCGCGAGACAGACACGTCCAATTTATTTAGTGAGTCCGTTCCTGTATTAAGACTCTGTAAGATATTTATAAAACCTAATACGTTTCATAGACAACTCACTTGTATGTAAACGACATTTTAAGTCATGTCATATCAAGTCTGGATTGATAACCGATAAACTGAAGCTTTAAAAAACGTACGGATGTGATCAATGACGTTCCATTAAAAGCTTTTTCCTGCAGATTTCGGCCTGTAAATGAAGAGATTTTTGATGCCTTTCAAAACATATTTCGAGTCTAATCCCATTATATGCATTTACTTAATATTTTATGAAGTGATCTCAGCTTAGTTTTAGTGCATACCGCAAGCCTAATTCTTTTATTAAAGGTTATGAATGTTATATCTATAGAGAAAAGGTCATTATACCCTTTTTTAAATAAATATGGTGCACGAAAGCATGTCATAGTTAGCATTTTAATTGTTTAATGTTCTACATTTAGCAGCTAAAATGTTTGAGCGATATGAATTGTGTTAAAAGCGGTCATGGTGCAATAGTCTGTACAATGTTCAATTATTTTTTTAAACTTACACATCTCACACACGGCCGCCCAACTAGGCAGAGCCTGTACTATGGTAACCAGACTGCTGATAAACATACTTATATATTTCTAAATACATACATAATATAGATACAGAGTACACCCAGATACAGAACAAACTACCGTGCTTATTACACGATTATTTATTCTGGGTGGGAATCGAACCCACGACCTCTGGCAAAGCAGTCAGGGTCCCTAACCACTCGTCCGGTGTAAAAACACACGGACGGGAGCCCGGCTCCTCGAGGTCGCCGGCGCTACCAGTGGCCCCAAAGCCGACGCCCTAGCGGCTAAGCTGAGGGAGGCACTGGATGCAGCTGACGTCCGAGTGTCCAGACCCACTAAATGCGCAGAAGTGCGCATTACGGGCCTGGACGACTCTGTCACGGCGGACGAGCTCAGACTCGCCGTGGCGGAGACGGGAAGCTGCCCTCTGGACAGCGTGAAGGCCGGAGCAATACGCTTCGGCCCCGGTGGACAGGGGGCAGCGGTTGTCAGCTGCCCCATTGCGGCGGCCCAGAAGGTCGCCGATGGACGGAGCCTCCTGGTCGGAGGTTTCCTGAGGGCGCAGGCACGACTCCTGCAGGCCCGACCGGCAAGGTGCTTCAGGTGCCTGTCGGTGGGTCACGTAGGGGTGCACTGCACGGCGGAGGCCACCGTAGGGTGACCGATGCTTCCGCTGTGGCCAGCCCGGTCACAAGGCGGGTGGCTGCAACGCCCCGCTGCGTTGCTTTAGGTGCGCAGCGGGGGGCAAGCCTGCCGACCACCGGGTTGGTGGTAAGGCCTGTGCCCTATCGCGACCGAAGCCGGGAGGCCGACCTTGTCCGGCCCATAAATCCTGGGG